ATCTTTCTTCTATCATTGACAGTCCCTCTAGGTTGTGGGCTGCTTGCCTGTGTTCCTGAGAAGCATCTACGGTACCAGTCTATAGAGTGTGTTTTCTTTAGTGAATTACCGGTATGTTTACCGGTAATAAACTTGCACTGTTTTATGTATATGTTTGATTACATACAGCCTTGTGACAGTTTTCCTGCATGTCATAAGCATTTGAATATAAATTAAAATGTTAAAATCAAATCTGATATTGTTTTACCTTTTATTTGGTGTGTGGAAGGTGTGCGGAAGAGGGGGTAGTCTTATACGGCGAGTATATAACAAACTCTGTATTTTGAGTGGAAATGTTAGGGGGTCGTCTTATACGCCCAGTCGTCTTATACGCCGGCAAATACGGTAAATGTTTTCATCTTTTGTTCCTGTTCCTAGCACAGCACCTGGTATGTAGTACTGAGAGATGCTCTTTGTCACACTGATGAGTCAGCCGGAAAGGGTTGTTCCACAATCAGAGACATTTTTTCGGTAAATAACTTGATAGAGAACCCAATTGTTGGAGATGGGAGAAGTTAGAGAACTGATGTTTCACTGTAAGTGTAAGAGCTGGAATTTAAACCGAGGTACTCTGAGCTCAAAGACGTTAGTCTTAAGTCATTGGGTTCAATGATTGCTGATTGAAGACAAAAAAGTAAAATTGTTTACTCACCAAGTAGACATTGCTTGCTGACTGCAGTGAATAGTATAAGTGGACAATGAAAGGGCTTTTGCTTAGGGCCAGTGCATCCCTCTCAGCTTGTACCTGATCAGTCATATTTTTGTTGATCATGTCTGCTTTTTTGACAACCTATAGTAGATAACATGACAATAGACATTCATTTTTAATTACAAATTGTTCTCAGGGTTGAAATTACGACCAAGAAACAACCAGAGGGAGAAAACGCCTAGATGTCATTTGGACCTTGGATTGCCTCCAGGAAACTGCCAGAAAAACAGCTAATGTGGAAAAAAAAAAAGCAGAATTTTTCCAACAGAGAATTGCTAATGTTGATATCTAGTGTCAAAAGTATCACATCCCTTTTAAGAAGGAAAAAGAGTAAACAAATGGTCTTTGACTGACTTGCCTCAGACCACATCTTGGAACCCTAGGGCAGAGAAGGTGCCACTTTCATTCCTGTTTCTTGGAAGTGTTGAAGGACATGTAGTGATAGAGAATTACAAGCAGGAAGAGTGACATGCCCAGCATATTGGCGAACAAGTAATCACCCTGACCTGCTGCGTTGGGCTCCGACAGGGTCTGTGCACTAGCTCAAGGTAGGAGGTCTGCTCTTCTTATAACAAAATCAAAAGGTAGTTGGGCAAAAAGTAAAACCATTTCCCCTAAGAACAGGAACAAGACAGGGATGCCCACTCTCACCACTCCTGTTTAACATAATACTGGAAGTATTAGCCATTGCAATTAGACAAGAAGAAGAAATAAAAGACATCCAAATTGGAAAAGAAGAAGTAAAACTGTCCTTATTCACAGATGACATGATATTGTACATAAAAAACCCTAAAGACTCCATCAAAAAACTATTAGACTTAATAAATGAATTCGGCAATGTAGCAGGTTACAAAATTAATGCCAAGAAATCTATGGCATTTCTATACACCAATAGTGAACTTACAGAAAGACTAAAAAAGCAATCCCATTTACCATCAAACCAAAAAAATTAAGATACCTAGGAATAAACTTAACTAAAGAGGTAAAAGACCTCTACTCAGAAAACTACAGGACATTGAAAAAAGAGATAGAGGAAGACACAAACAGATGGAAGAACATACCATATTCATGGATATAGAATCAACATCATTAAAATGTCCATACTGCCCAAAGCAATCTATAAATTCAAAACACTCCCCATTAAAATACCAACGGCATATTTCTCAGACTAGAGCGAACTCTCCAAAAATTCATGTGAAATAAAAAAAGACCCCGAATAGCTGCAGCGATCCTGAGAAAGAACAAAGTAGGTGGGATCTCAATACCAGATATCAAGCTGTATTACAAAGCCACTGTTCTCAAAACTGCCTGGTACTGGCACAAGAACAGACATACAGACCAATGGAATAGAATACAGAGCCCA